CCACCAATTTTTCAAAATGTCTGCATCATTAAATGGTTTGAATGTATACAGTCATTCAGAGTAGAGTGATGTGAAACATTCCGTTCTAGAGAAACTTGCCGCATGAGAATTGTTCAGAGTGGTGGTGTTAGGAACCAGAGGTCCTAAACATTTAATGCCTCTAAAAGCTCTCTCAAAGTTATTACACAAAATCGTTACAAAAACATCTCCTGATGCCCAAGACTTTGCCCTAATTTATTCAGTTTATGGCAGAGAGCTATGTGCAGGCTGTTGTAAGCCAAAATAGTACCCAAACAGTGCCATTCTCAACACTGCATATAAAACTATATAAAAAGTGTAGGTCCACTGACTGGTAGGTTCACTGCTCATGTATATAGTAAATAAAATGGCAATATTTGCATTGTAGACATCATGACTCCTTCTTCCTTTCACCACTGTAAAGAAATCTGAGACGTTAAGTGCCTCTACAGTGCATCATTTCACACCAAACCACTGTGAAGGGCTTTGTTCACATCTTAATGTTTGAAGAAATGCTAAAACTTTTCCTTTTAAAGGAAAAAAAAAAAGATAACAGGAGGAAACAAGAAAGAGAACAAGAACACCACAACAAATGCCTGAAGTAAAATTTACAGCTTTGACGTAGCAGACCCTCTCAATCAAGGTAAACCTTTCATTTTAATTTGCAGCAGTGTGTCAGCAAATGGACTTAGGCAGAGATGGATGACCACACTGGTCTAATTCTGGAGCCATCACTCTTGATCTTGTCATAAGACGAGTCGTTTTCCGTCACATGTCAGTAAACACTGAGCTAACGGTTCTTTTCTCCCACTGAATTAAGACCACTGTCTGTCCTGCTGTCAAAATGACACGAGAAGTCCATGGAGGGAGTCCTTCAATCAGATCACTGCTATTCTACCACATGTTTTGGAGGAGCAGTAAAGAAATTCCTCCACATGTTGTGCTGAAAGTCCCCAAAGAGTCAAGTCAGTTCATCTGAGAGTATGTTTCAGTAAAAGAATGTGGATAAACTGAAGGAACCGTTGCTCATATCTGTGGGTGTGTTTTGCTGTTTTAATCATGTATCTGGTTTGTGTGCAGCAGTGCTGAAGGCAAAGGATTCAGGAAGCTTCACAAGCTTATAGGCAATAAGCTGTGAAAGAGGACACATGGAATTGTCAAAATGTAATGAGCTTTTACATTTAGCCACACTGCCCCCTTGTGGTAAGTGTTCCACTTCACAGCGTGAGTTAGACCTGTCTGAATTATTCTGCAGAGGACCAGGACTGCACTAGTGTTCGGCCTCTAGTAAAAACTGGTCGACTACTAGTGAAGAACAAGAAAAAGAGCCTTTTTAGAGAATACTGGGACAGAATAGGAGTTAAGTAACTATACCACTGTACTGCAGAGTGTAAAACAGTTCAGAATATGGAAATGTTTTCTCACAGTCAGCCTATTAAAGTGCTTGTGGATATGAAGCCATCAATCAGTGGTGCACTGCCTGCCATGTCCAGTTGGTGGAGCCATGTCTCTGTGCTACCTCTTATATGGTGAAGCGCTGACCTGCTATGCAACTTCTTTTGGACTCTCATTTAGCATGTATTTGTGAAAGAGAACTAATCCTAGATCTTTCCTCAGGGATCTGCAGTGCCTTTTTCCTACCAGAAGTCCTATAATGAGGGCTATTTCCTGCTGTAAGTAGTATAAACAGTTGCTTAGGGCATTGAGGCCTGTTGAGCATGGTGTATTTTTTTTTTATATTTATTTATTTAGCTTTTTTTGTCTTTACTGTTTGTTTTTAATGTATTTTTGTTGCATCACTGATGACCTTGCTTCCAAAAAAAACTGTGTACAAGGCATTTAACCACATTGTAATAGATTTTGTGTTTATTTATTTCATTTAAAAATTAAAGTGTTTCATTTTTTTTTATTGACAAATCAGTTGTTTGACACACAGATGTCTATTTTGTCTGTATATAGTTAATTGTTGTTTTTTGTGAAACTGCCTATTATTACAGAGTGAGCTAGAGTTGTAAATTTGCAGCTGGTGGCTTAATGCTAATGCTAGAAATGCAACGAGAGTCTTCAAAAGCAACAGATGAGGCGCAGGCAGCTGTTAAAGTAATACTTACGTTAGGGCTGTGTGGACACCCTGGACATTTTTGAAGACTGACTTGTGAGAAGGTGTTCCTGACTGACGCATCAAGTATTAGTGGTTAATTCATAAATTATCAGTCTTTAAACCTGTACACACCTTCAAAATGACTCATTACAGGTGGGTCAACACATGGACTTAAAAAAAAGAATGTCACAAAGGATGCTTTGATCAGATTTTGCCAAAGCAAAAAGGAGACTTGTGACAGTCGTGTGCTAAAAATACCCGCAGTATGAATGAGACCAAACATTCAAAAGCATCTCCTGGCCCATCACAAGATAGGCTTTGGCACCAAGTCTTACTTAGGTCAGGTTGTTAGGAGTGTCCTTTAGGCGTGTCTGGCCCTCATAACACTCTTCCTCCTTTTGGTAAGACTAACCATAAAGTGTGGTTTTCTGGACAAAAAAATCAAGACAACGTACACTACACTATTTGACAGCATAATTAGTCCGAGGGTAGGCTTAAATCTCTGATAAAAACAATTTAATAATTGAATAGAAAGCAATTAAGTTCATTAAACTCGGCGGCTTTATCAGTGCTCGTGTTTGATTATTATTTAATTTCCTTTAGACTTCATGCTTGTGCTAACTCTTGATCCATGGATCAAAATTCAAATATAGACTTTAATAAAGGCAGCAGGTTTGAACAAAGGCAGCATGGAGGTCAGATGAACTAGGTAAGGTCATTTAGACAAACTCTAATTCTTCCCTGAATGCTATCTGTACACAAACGAGAACAACCTCATTCAAAATTCAGGCTGTGAGTTTGCCTAACCAGGCCTGTGCCCATTACTCATTACTCTACCTCTACTCACTTCCTCTCAGCACAACAACACAGAACAAACAGGCCTTGTTGACGGTAATGAACCAGTGCGATGAGAGAGAGAGAGATTAGTAGAGTGGTAGGCTATGGAGACAGAAAGAGCGATTAGTACAATGGAAGGCACTTTGGGGCAGAAAGAGTGAGATTAGTGCAATGGTGAGAGAGTCAAATAAAGAGACTAGTACAGTAGAAGGCTGTGGGGAGGAGAGAAAGGGAGAGTGATTTGTATTTTGTACTGCTATTGTGCGAAAGAAAGAAAAAGAGAGTAATTAGTACCGTGGACTGCTACTAAGAGACAGAGAGAGTTTAGACTGCTACTAAGAGAGAGAGAGTTACTAGAACCTTGGACCGCTACTAAGAGAGAAAAAGAAAGAAACAGAGAGAGATATTAGTACCTTGGACTGCTACAGAGAGAGAAAGAGGTTATTAGAACCTTGGAGCACTACTGGAGAGAGAGAGAGAGAGAGAGAGAATGAGAATGAGAGATAGATAGATTAGTACCTTGGACTGCTACTCGGAGACAGAAACAAAGAGAGAAAGACATCAGTACCTTGGACTGCCATTGAGAGAAAGATAGAGAGAGAGAAAGATAGAGAGAGAGAAAGAGAGAGATCAGTACACTGAAAGGCTATTGAGAGAGAACGAGAAAGAGAGAGAGAAAGAGAGAGAGAGAGTAATTAGTACCGTAGAAGACCATGGAGAGAGAGAGAGAGAGAGAGAGAGAGAGAGAGAGAGAGTGATTAGTACAGTAGAAGACCATGGAGAGAGAGAGTGAGTGATTAGTACAGTAGAAGACCATGGAGAGAGAGAGAGAGTGATTAGTACAGTAGAAGACCATGGAGAGAGAGAAAGAGTGATTAGTACAGTAGTAGAGCATGGAGAAAGAGAGAGAGAGAGGATACGGCAGTGCTGGCAGAGTGTGCTGTATTACGCCATAGCACAGAAATGTCTGTCTTTAGAGGTTTCCCTTCTTTTTGGAGCATGAAGGGAGAGAGAGATGGGGAGACAATGCAGAATTAGGACACTTCCCCCCAGTGGAGGATGAGTGCAGGGTGGGGGGAAGGAGGGAAACAGGCCCGTTTTTGTCTGAGCCCAATACCGGCATCCAAACAACACAAAGCCCGTCTAAGCAGCCATTCACTTCAACTGGGCCTCCATGCATAGCTAATTCACTGAGCAGAGAGAGGGAGAGGAAAGGGGGCAGGAGAGGGAACCAGAGAGAGAGAGAGGAAAAAGAAAGGATGGATGGAGGCTGAGAGACTGAGAGAGGATGTCTTTGATATATATTCTGACTGCTGTTGCACACGAAGAACACTATCAAAAGTGTGGCTCTTGCAAAGATAATATGATGTAAAGGTAATACAGTGTGTTATTCATATAAAATAATAATAATAATGTATTTCATTTATACATTACTTTATATTTCATTGTCTAAAACGTTCTTCATATAGATGGCTGATGCTTGAGGATGCACCGATATGGGGACTGTGGACCTGTGCTAAAATCTGATATTTTTCATATACATATCTGTCAGTGGTGATGCTGATATACAATCCTTGAATATATGTAGAAATTGGAGGTGCATCTACATGGATTGGCATGACAGAGAAACATTTCATTGCTGTTGAGACAAAACCTTGTATATCCAAAATGGTAACATTACAGGAGAAGGAAAAACCTTCTTAGCTTTAAATTGAATACAATGTAAAACCAGCTGGCATTTTCAAAATATGTTTTGTGTTTTTAAAATAATTCTGTAAGGTTACAAAAGCAGAAAAATGAATACAATTTTTAGCACCCATAGTACAATAAATAACTCATCAAATATCAGTTTGAACTATCAGTCAAATCTAAACATCTGCCCACTGCTGATATTTCTTTTAAGCAATTATCTGCGGAGACAGATGTCATTCCAATATTAACGTGCACTCCCTGCTGACGATATCTTATGTGTGCATAGTATAATAAACTGTAAAAGTGCAGAACATGCATAGAAAGACACACAAAGTAAATGAGATAGAGAAAGATGGATCTCACCTCTGACATTTATTTAACTCTATTTACACCACTGCAGAAATATAGCACTGACCGGCGGGAACCGGTCATCTCAAAAAGACTGCTACAGAAAAACGAAAGTGGATTCTCAGTGTCAAGAGCAAAATGGCAGGCAATTCAACAATGCTCGCATCTCGGAAAAACAAACCAAATCTGTACACAATTAGTATTTCTTTGTCATTTAGCGAAAGGTACGTTTCAAATAAAAACAAATGGGATAAATTAAAGTTGTGTCAGGATTATATTACCATATGTAAGATAATAGAGAAAACTAGGATAGCACTGAAGAACACGGCAGTTGTGATGATAGCTGCATAAACATTGTCAATACATTGTTGAATTGCTTGTTGGAAGAGACAGATGGTGAAGAAACAAAAGCAGTATCTCTTGACTTGTCACTCAAGTTGAAGAATGGCACAGTACGGGAATCTGAGGTCATGAGGAGTCGGAAGATTATCTAAATCAGTACTCTTTCAGAACTTAATTCATCCTGATTTGATTGACACGCCAATGGAGGACCTGCCATTGGTCGCCATGGACAGTTGAGGCCTGTGTTTGCACTTGTGATGAATATGTTTCTACCAAAACCAGTGAAATGCGCTTATTCACATCCCTTCCTCCTAAAAAGTACAACAAGCATGATTTTACACATTACCTAATGATGTCATTGTTTTACAATAGTGGTCTGCAGGCTGAGTTAAAGCCGTTGTTTTGTACAGCAGTCAGGATAAAGAGGGATTGCTTGCTCTTCTGATGTTGCGGCCAGTCATGTAACCTTCAATGAGGCAATAATAAGTGGCTGAAGGGCAAGGTGTAAAAATGCTACTTGTTGTACCTTGTTCGTGTTTAGTGTTGAGGCTGAATTTAGTCCAGTCCAGTAGGTGGGGCCCTGTTGGGGGCCATCGGAAGAACAGCCAGGAGGAGGGCAGGAGGCACACTCAGAGAGAGCAAGACGGCTGAACTTCACCACTCACCTACAATCACACTGTCCACAATCAACCCTATTGAACTTCCTGAAAGAGTGGAGGCTTAATGACAAATGATTGTCATGTTGGTGTGGCCAGATGTTTGAAAGGTAAAAGTAAAACCCTTCTAATAAAGGCAATAAAAGAATGTTATATAGCATATATATATATTTATATATATATGTATCTATAGGTCTCTGTTCCAATAGTTCAGTAAAGTGCTTTGCTTAGAGGGTGAAGTATATACAAGGGAGAGTGGCGGCTTTGCCAAAGTTTGGCAGAGGGCTTAAAAAGAGGGATGTCCACAACACTCGATAAAACACACACACACACACACACAATCATCAGGAAGAACGCAGGTGTGCGAGTGTGAGGAGCACAGTTCACACAGGAGAGGTACCTGGCTGGCCCCAGCTGTCCTGGTAAGCATCCTCCCTGAGGAGGCGGGGCCTACCTGGGGAAGAGGGGAGGGGCAAAGGTGACGGGGGGAGGAGCTTGCTGTTGGGGCTCGTGATGTCGCCCTCGGCAACTAGCGTCAGGTCCATTCCATTCTCCTCCTCCTCCAGTGCTTGGGCCCCGCCCTCGCGCTGCCACTCCGAAGTCCCCAAGGACATCCCACTGTGGCTTCGCGAAGAGGCGGGGTTTCTGTGAAGTGGCATCAAGGCGCGGCGAGGGCCCTGAACTTCTACAGCCGAATCCAGGCTCTGCGACTGGTGACTGGCGCTGAGGGCGGAGCCATTCTCCTTGGAGCGTGGGCGGGGCTTATGTGAGGCGGAGGAGGAGCCGAGGGGCTCGTGGCTGGGGTTCGTTTCTGGGTCCAGGCGCAGGAAGTCGGGCAGGACGAGGTCAGATTTGTTCAGCAGACCCCGCTGGTCGTCAGCTCGGTTGCTCTGTGCTTTGGATATGAGCTCGAAGAATTCTGGCCGGAAAACATACAAGCGGTTTCAAATATTTATCACAAAATGTTGAGGAAAAAAATATATAATAATAAATACACCAGTACATGTTGGAGACACAGCAGTGTGCAGGAGAAAAGGAGCATTCCTCAGTTAAAAGGACATTAGTATCAGATTCACTGTGCTAGCATTAGCTTCATCAGCCAACATTGCTATGCAGACCAGTTAAGCAAGAGTTGTAGCCAAGCAACTTCAGAGCTAAATCAAGTGTCAAAGACAATTTGGTATAGAGGGAAGAAAAAACAGGAGACAGAGTTAGACAGAGGGCAGTGTGTTTTACCTTCGGCTTCATCTATATTAAGCTTTTTCTGTTTTCGTTTTTCCACCTGGGCCCTGGTTTTGACAGACGTAGCCTTCCCTGACGATCTGTCCTCCCCCTGGGTGGTCACAATGAGAATGGGGCACATTAGGGCTGTGTGGATGAGTGGCGGCTTTGCTAGACTGGGGTTCTTTCGAGGGGCTGGCGTATGTCTAAAGGGGCCTCGTGGCGTAGTACAGGGGCCGGTGGACTATTTCCCGAGCTAATGCACATACAGTCGCATCCACATACACACAAACATTACGGCTAGTAGCAAGACTAACCTACCAGTTCCACACTAACACAGCACAGCACAGCACAACAGCCAACACCACCACCAATGCAACAACAGCAAACCCCACAGCACAGATCTCCGCACGACAGCTCTCCTTTAGCTGTTTTTCCCCTGTTCACTGACACCGCTATCCCCAACTACGGAGCAGAGAGATTAAACTTAAAGGAACAGTTTGGCAAAAAATCAGTTTACACAATTTTTTTCTTACCCCAAAATGTGGTCAAACAGCCAAGACATGTTTGGTGTCTGAAGTTTGTTTCTTTAGTTTTGCACTGGAGCTATAAGGCTAGAAAGTAATGGAAGCTTAGCATTGTGCAAACTGAACACCTACATCATCACACACTTGCGTCAAACTACTTTAAGCTGTTAAGTACTCTCAAATGAAAAACGTTGCTTATGTGGTTTCTGATACTGTATGTCCTCATGTTCATATGACATATTTTTATCTTAAACAAATGGATTAATTTAGCAAATCTGAATTCTGTCTGTACTATTTCATTTTTATGTACAGTAGTTTGTCATACAGTGCCAGAAACTACATAATTAAGTCTATTTGAGATCATTTAAAAGTTTAACCAGGTTTGAGGTGTGATGATTTAAGCATGCGTAATGCTAATAGGTATAAGCGCCCATTACTTGTTAGCTACATTAGCCTTGTAGCTCCAGTATAAAAACTAAAATAAAAACACAGTTCATTTGGACACAGTCTTGGCTTATTCTGGAGTAAGGAGAAAATTACATAAATTAGATTTAAAAAATTTTTTTCTATATAATTTTGCCAAACTATGCTTTAACCCAAAAACTCATCCACTCAAATGGGTCGTGTCTGGGCCCAGAGCAAGAATGAGGTGTAGGGAGGTTGGAGGAAGAGTGTGGTTAGATCATCCACAGATACAAACAGCTTCAGGTGGACAGAGAGGAGGTAGAGGGGCCAGCCATGCACAGACCCCCCTCCCACGCACACAGGCCAAGGAGGCAGAGAGACAGAGAAAGAGAGAGAGAAGAGGTGATCTTGGAGAGAAGGAGCATCAGTTTCAGTGAATGAAGAGGTACGGCTCACTTACTGTGGCAGACTGGCTTCGTGTGGAGAGCGGTGGCCCATGGCTCTTTGCTGGGGCCAGTTTCTGTTTGTCTGTCAGGGGAGAAGAAGAATGAGGAAAATGAGATCAGACATCAGGCCCAGCATTTATACAGCAGAAACAGATAAAAGATAGAAGGTCCAAAATTAGAAGGAAATCAAAATGAATGGCCCTTCCTGATAAAACAGCTGATTTACAGGGAATCTGCCCAGCACTGGACAATACCAGAAACATACAGTCAAATGCAAACGTTTAATTCAAATTCAATTTCCAAATACGTTTTGTTGATTTTCTAAGTGAACAGTACTCTACCGGGAATAAACTTAAATATTTTCCTCCAATTTCTACTTGTTTGCTGAGTTTAACATATGTAACATATAAAACATTTTTAAAAGGCCACAGTTTGTTTTATTATTATTTATTTACAATATTTCAGCAGATAAACAGAAATTATGCATTAAAAGATGCAGAAAAGTGTTCTCTACAGAGGATGTGAACTTATTTTCACTTAGAAAATCAACAAAACATTGACCCACACACTACTGTGAAAAAGTATTTGACCCTCACCCAATTTCTTCTATTTTTGCTAATTTGTCAAATGTTTCAGATCCAACAAATTTTAATATAATATAAAGGCAACACAAGTAAACACAACATGCAGCTTTTAAATGATCAATCCATTCATAGAAGATAAAGATTTATTCAAAACCCATATTGCCCGTGTGAAAAAGTAAGTGCCCCCTAAACCTAATAACTGGTTGTGTCGCCCTTGGAAGTAACAGCTGCAATCAAGCGTTTGCAATAACTTGATGAGTGATGTGATGAGTCTTTTACATCACTGTGGAGAATTGCATCAATTTAGCTCGTTTAAGGTCTTGCCACAGCATCTCAATGGGATTCAAGTCAGGACTTTGACTCATACACTCCAAAACCTTAATTTAGTTTCTTTTGAGCCATTCAGAAGTGGACTTGCTTGTGTGCTTCATGTCCTTATCCTGCTGCATGACCCAACTGCACTTGAGCTTTAGGTCATGAACTGAGACGCAGACATTTGCCTTCAGGATTTTCTGATAGAGAGCAGAATTCATGGTACCATCAATTATGACAAGCCGTCCAGATCCTGCAGAAGCAAAGCAGGCTTAGACCACCACCATGTTTGACCGTTGGTATGATGTTCTTATGGAGGAATGCAGTGTTAGCTTTAAGCCAGATGTAACGGGACCTGTGTCTTCCAAAAAGTTCCATCTTTGACTCATCAGTCCACAGAATATTGTCCCAAAAGTCTTCATCTAGATGTTTTTTGGCAAACGTGAGATGAGCCTTAGTGTTCTGTTTGGTCAGCAGTGCTTTGTGCCTGGCGGCTCTCCCATAGATGCCATTTTTCCCCAGTGTTTGTCTTATTGTGTACATTGACCTTAACTGAAGCAAGTGAGGCCTGCAGGCCATTAGATGTTTGTCTGAGTCCTTTTGTGACCTCCTGGATGAGTCGTCTGTGATTCACTGGAATCCAATAGCCTTGGCTTTGTAACCATTTCCAGACTGGTTGATTTCAATGACTTTGTTTTGCATCTGTATTTGAAACTCTTTAGAACGTGGCATCATGTGCTGCTTTTTGAGACCTTCTAGTCTGCTTCACATTGTCAGACAGGTTCTATTTAAGTGATGTTTAGATTCAACAGGTCTAATGTTTAGATTCAGTCATGCCTGGGTGTGGATAGTGAAAGCACTGTGTATATATTATCTATTATTTATGTTCTTATGACCATTTTTCTTAGCATCTTTTTATTTCTTTTAAAGTGAAGTTGAAAGATTTAGATTTATCACAAGTTTAATTTTTAAATAAAAACAAAGCTGTCCCACGTTTTCATGTTACTGTGCTTCCGTGTTTTGTGTGATAAATATATAATATACTTCTAATATACGAGTCCTGTGCACATTCACAGTTATAATTTGTAGGAAACTGAGAACCTGAAAAAAAAATTTAAAAAATGAATTTTGGATGATTCCAGAATGATGAACAGAGCTGTAGATAATTCTAATATCTGAGAAAGCTGTACAAAATCAAGAATGAAGTTTTAATAAGATTAATATCCAGAATTCCCCAAGTTTCAGAAGTCCTGAAGCCAAAACCTGACAGAAAATTATTCTAATAAGATAATTATATTCACAGAATACTTGAAATATTGGATAAAACATCTAATAACGTCTTTAGGTGTGTTGTTTATAATATTCATATCTACAATTTATAAGTCATCACTGAATATAAGATTCCAGACTCCAGACTCTGGTAATGTATGTGGTCTTGCCTTTTCCCGGGACGTGTTCAGCTGCCTCCAGCACCACCCTGAGTCCATCAAGGTTGGAAATGGGCAGGCCGAGATCCAGTGGCTCTTTCTCCCCACTCTGTTTAGACACACACTCAGAATCAGTTTTATTTTGTCAGGCATGTTACACATAGTAGGAAGGCGAAGGCCCACATTTAGCCTAACATATACCATATTAAACAGACAGACACTGCGCTGCTGTAAATCCAGTTAAACAGGACTAATTATTTCCTGTATGTAATGAAACATGCAGTAATTTTGGTATTGCTTAAGTACGGACAATATTGATGATTTGCCTAAAAAAGCGTATTGTTGATCGCAATACCGATATTCATTGCGATAACGATAAAATATCGTCATATTGCCCACCAGATCATCACTTTCTCCACTTCACTTTAAAGGATTAAAGAAGGGAAAAACCTCTACAACTAGCTTTTTATTTCATTCGTCACCAGCAGCTCAGCTCTGCTTAGTGAATGGGTTACTCACAATCCTGGCCACTAGGTCTCCTAAGTGCAGGCCGTACTTGGCCACGACTGGCCTCAACACCTCAGTCACAGGCTTAGTGGGTTTAGCTTTCAGTCCGACAGAGCGGTTTATGGGCACCAGATCCAGCCTAGGAGAGCGAGGGAACACGCTGATCATTCAAATATGCATGACTAATGATTACAACTATGCATGACATCTATGATGATAACTATGCATGACTAATGATTACAACTATGCATGACTAATGTTGTATAAGACTAGACATAAGCATCTGCATAAACATCTAATTTTTACATTGATAAATAGATTAACGGAACAATGGATGGATAAACATATAAATAAATGACCTTATTAATCTAAGCAAATTGATGGATGGATGGCCAAATGGACAAACAGACGTGATGTGTGATGTGTGTGTGTAGGTGTGTATACCTGAATAATGTACGCTTCTCTAGTCGCAGGTCGCGGGAACACAGTGTCATGCAGTCCTGGTCTAATACTAAAGGCTTTACACACAGACAATACACTCTATTATTATACAATGCACCACCACAGGATTGGATGACACACGCACATGCAATTATGCAACCACACACGCACACACAACACACACATACAGAGAGCTGAATCGTAGGAGTAATATATTGTTGCTGTTAGAACAAAACCTTGGAAACGATAACTTTATAGGAGAAAGAAAAATCTATAAATGTAAAACATCTAAATAAATGAATAAATAAATGAGAAAACTGTAAAGTAATTCTGGATCATTTATATTTGCTCATGCATTGTAAATTGTAATGTCAAGGGCAGCAGGAAAAAAAAGAAATTGTAAGGTTTTCTTAAGACAGTGCTGTCATATAGGGCTGTCAAACACATTAACACAATAACTGAGGTCTTTTCCTCTTTTGACCATTTGTACTGTCTGTAATAGTGCAGGCTGAAGCTCAGCTGCACACAATGTATGTTGCTATGAAAGAACATGCAATTGTAGCCTTCTTTCTCTAATACAGGTTTTAAACACCCTTTAAAGCAATACGTTTAGCACCATCAGCAGACTACACTACACAGTGCTCACAGAAGAGCCATGGTTAAATCAATGAGCAGAAAACTAACAAAAGTAATAGCAAAATGGCAAGGTACGCTGACTGTATATATGATATAACATAAATCGATGGAAAACATAAAATGTGGCCTGTGCAAAGTTATAGCACATTTTACATTTTCTTTTACTTTTTCCCAATATAAATAGAAATGGTGCACTAAAATTTGCATATATTTAATTTCTATTATATTGAGGTTTGTCCCCTGTAGAGGATGTGTACCTATGTCATTTGACTGGAGGACTTAAAACTTTTGGCATCAAATGTCTTTGGCTGGAACCTGCAGCCACTGTTGCGGTCACTGGACGTTGGTGATGAAACCATGTGATTTTCATGTTGAGGTTCATGTGAACCCTCTGCTATTGAACCCTAATGTTATGCAATGAGTGATAAATACATTCTGTTAAAGCCTATTTTGTCCACTTATATAGTTAGAACAGAATTTGCTGCCTTTCAAACAGCACAACAACAAACAACATGTTCTTCAGGGTCAAATAAAACAAATGCATTTAAGCATAATTAACTACATAAAATCATCAAATGAATAATTCAGCACTGGTATATATATTATACAGTATATAATACAGAATACATATAGTTATATACAAATTTGTAGAATTGAACATGTTCACCTGAGTTGCATATTGTCATAATTTCCCTACTGACTCAACTAATCAGTTCATTAACAAGCCTCTCTTGCGTTTAGAATGGCTATTTCAGTGCAGGGCACAGTTGCACTAAAGCTTACAGTGCAGGAGTACACCAGCATCAAGACTAGGAAACACTGCTCTATTTCAATAATAACCAACAAACAAAAGCAGTACTGAATAGGAAAGCTGAGTGGAAGTGTGTTTGTGCAGCTGTGCAAGACTTACCTTCTCTCCTCCCACCAGAAACAGGTCTACAGCTGCCAGGTTAATGCAGAGTTTCTCACACAGGCCCAGCAGAATCTCCCTGATCGACACGCCTGGCCTTATGGGCACTGAGCAACAGGAACCATCCGGCAGGTTAATGTTGCAGTAACGCACGGAACGCTCAGATAACGACATGGAGTTACGTGACGCCTCTCCCTGAGAGAGTGAGAGAGAGAGAGAGAGAGAGAGAGGGCAAAAAACAAGGATGGAGGAATAAAAAAGGTTGTCTGCTGTTCTCTGCTGTAGGCACTAATGTTTTTTTCTCTTCACTCACTTTTTGCAAATGTGTATTAACAGAAGGTATCATTTGTCAAACCATGTTTTATTTTCAGATATTTCACTGAGGAAAACTAACAAACTATATAGGCTATTTAGTTTAGCTTAAAAATGAAAACAGAAACAGGATGGATCAGTGGCGAGTCCAAGTGCCACAAAAGTACTTTTATTATTGTGTAAAGTTTAAACACAGCTTGCAAATTGGTTCTGGCATGTAAAACACATTTTGCTCAAAAAAGAAACATTTTCTTAAGAGGTGCGCTGCGTAGAGCTGATAAAGGGGACCACGGCTAAAAAGGTTTAGCATTACTGAATTTAAATTCATGAACTGGAAGGATAGGTTTCAGTACAGGATGGGAGATCTTTAAAGTAGCTTTCAGTAGAAAAGCATGCGATGCTCTAGGGTAAGGCAGTTTATGTTTCAGAGGGTTTATACACTACATCAGTGTACATGGTTCTGGTGTTCAGCAGCCTGTGTGGCCATGTAGCTCAGTCTGTGGTTGGGCTGCAGGTTCCTCACCTCGTTTTTGCCAGAAGCAGAGGTGCCAAGCTCCAAACTCGCCCCAGATGACAAAGAGCCCTGTGACTCTCTCCGTCCATTACTGCCCGAAAAACCTGCACAAACACAAATACACTCATTCATAATCACTCATTCATTCTATAGAGCTCATAATCACTGATTCTGACTACTGAAATCTACCTTACAAGTGTACATTTTCTGAACAGGGCAATGCATGCACTAAATAATTTAACCCACTGAACCTAAGATTTATTATTCTGTTATTAATTGTAAGACATTTTATTCAGCAACTGCTATGAATAAATGATTCTGTAATTACCCTGAAATTTGAACATTATTAGTTATAGAAATGAAGAACTGAAGTGTGCAACCCACATATAAGCTCTTAGTGTCTAAAGGGTTCAAAATTATGCTTTATATATACTCACATGCAACTTTATTAGGTGGACCTACCTTGTATCTATACTCACTATCTATTTTATCAGGTTTGCTTACCATGCAGGTGCACTTTGTGGTTCCACAATTACAGACTGTAGTGCATCTGTTTCTCTGCATAATTTGTTAGGCCCCGACCACATTCATCAATGGTCAGGACCCCCACAGGACTGGAGCTCAAAACGGTGGTGGATCATTCTGAGACTGTTCCAAGGTAGGTCCTGACCACTGATCACTGATGAATAAGGTAAAGGGGGTCACAGATGGACTACAGTCTGTAAATGTAATACAAAGTGCATCTATATGGTAAGCAGAACTGATAAAGTGAACAATGAGTGTACATGAAAGGCGCACCTAATGAAGTGGCCAGTGCATGTATGATAAAATGTAATTAAATGGTCAGTCACGTCGACTTACTGTACTCTCCCAGATCTCTCTTTTTGGGTCCTTTCCCAAAGCTCCGGTTCCTGGACCAGGAGAAAAAAATACCTTTCTTTTTATCGCTCTGCTCATCTTTGCTCTCCTCGTTCAGCGATTTTCCTGATTTACTCTTCTTCTCCTCCTGCAACGGTCAAACAGTGTTAATCCTTCATCTGTTCTTTCCTCATTCACACAAACACAGAGCAAGTGATAACAGAGAGAGATCCATTTCCCAAACACTGAAAATCTTTCCTATAAACTGACTGTCACTGCGCAGCTCTGACGCGATGTAAGGCAGGAATGAAGAGTGTTAGAAACAGCTTATAAAAATACTTCACAGGTCGACGTGTTCAAGACTGCCCCCTGGCACATGTGCCCCCGGTTCAATGAAACAGTAAGCATTAACACTAACCAAGTAGTGTTCAGTGTCTTACACAACTCTTTCAACACATCATGTCATCAGCAACCCTTATACAGTTACAGCTATTACTTTTGTTCTGCTATCCTATCTAAACATAACTGCATCATTATTTATACAGTTACATAATGAAATTCATGTACATTCGATTTGTACTCTAATTTGTACTCTACTTTAATTTTATTTCAAGGTGCACAAAATAAGCCTTTCTGACTTGAGTCAGGTTAAGAAAAAAAAAGGGTTCCAGGAATGGAATTTAGAATCAATACACTAAGCTATGGCCGTTCTCTGCACAAAAGGCTAATTTCTATATCTTTCAAGTTTTACATTTTGGACATGGTCTATGTTACCTGATTTCTTGCTTGTGGTTTTGTTGTCACAGTATGTAAAGCAGCCAGTGATGCTCTGTCTGCTGCCCTCAGTTTTGAGCCAGCACTTAGAAACCCATATGTTCTCTGTCTTTCAGACCCTCTAGTTCCTAAATAGTTGAACTGATATAGAACCTTTACATCATGGAGATTCTTTAAACGCTAAAATCTCCCTAAACTTACACATCTCATTTACAAAAACAGTCCTTTAAAGGACCATCAACACACATAAATTTAAGGCAGGCTTTAGCCAAGGTGTAGCCTTCATGCAACTAGTTGCGTGAAACATAATTTCTGTGCAACTTGACAGTTACACAAAGTCAACATTTAATTAACCAACTAGTTAACCAAATTAGCAGCTCATACTTTTTGATGCATCCCATCATTCTCACTATATAAAGTATGATTTTTTTAAGCTGTCTCTTACATTCTTTTTATCTATGTTTCTCTCTTATCTTGTATGATTTGACTTTTAAATGTGCTCTATTCTATATATTTAAGGGTATATATGTAATATGTAAGTAGCCATTAATGTTGTAGCACTTTCTCGTCACCCTGTGCTAAAAGCACTGCGATGTCATTGAGGATTGCATCTCAGGCTCTCCTTCTGTAATAGTTTTGATCATTTGGATCCCAATGGAATCTGAGCTCTGTATGAAATCAGAAGGCATTTAAAGAGCAGATAATTAAACTATCTAGCTATGCAGAGTGTGGTAAGAACAGGCCAACAAAGAAGAATAAATGCTGGAACAAGCAGCCGTTTAAGCAGCTGTTAGCGTTAGCTGGTTAGTTAGACCAGCTGGTTACAGAAGTATTAGCTTCGAGAAGCTTGTTTGTTGTCATGGCGGAGGAGGATCTTCTTTTCAATCCTCTAACCATCTTCTGTTTTATTTTCTCATCCACTGATCCCATGAAATCAACCGTTTGAAATGATGTTTTATATGATCATGTGACACATTATTAGCTTTTTAATTGGCCACTTCATTAAAACTATTTCCATGAAGTTGAGAAGCTTGCAACTGTTGCAGGTTGCAGCTGAGTTTCAAATGAGTTGCAGGACGCTTTACATTATGCAACTTAAGTGCAATTTAGTTTTATGTGGGTTTCAAGCAACTAAAGTTGCATGTAAGTTACACCATGTAAAAGATGTGTAAGGTTCAAGGTTCTTTAATGCTGCTGTAGACCTGGGGCCTTCAGCTCTGGTCCTGGAAGAGTCCACCAGTTCCAATTAACTGATGATTTAAACTGTGCTGGACAATCTCTTCCAACACCTCCCACCTGACCACAGAGCCTGCTGAATATTCTGATAGGCTGCCTAGGTTTTACAGGTTTGATGATAACTCTGCTAATGATAAACTAAGTAAGGTGTGAACAAGCCGAAATGACTCATATTTCACACCTAAACTACATTTACATAATTTGATTTGTTGTGTGAATATGCACAGAGTGTTCTGCCACAGGGAATTCTGCTACTTAAATAAACGGACACATAGCATGTGTATAATAAGTCCACTTTAAATCATAATGGTACATTTTGCAATTCACTTCAAAAAGTGTGTCGGATAAACAAGTGGAAGGTGACGTGAGTGTGGATGTATATGTGTGCCATTCTGCCGTACCTTCTTGGGTGTTGAGAGATTGGAGCGGTCTGAGCTGGTGCTGTGCTTGGATGTGGGGCTGCTGGGGATGTGGTAAGGGTCCGGGAGGGGACGGCCCTCCACCTCTGCCAGCATACACTCCTGATACAGGAAAGACTTCAGGAAGCGGGTGTAACTGTCGAACTTCATCAGGTTAAAAATCTGCAAGGAAAGAGAGAGAGAGGGAGGGACTTCACTCATCCTGAAACAAACTGTGCACAACATACATATCGCTATTGTCAGAAGAAAACCTTGTATCTCCATTTTTGACATTTTTCAGTTTTTGACATAATGTGAAAATACCTGATACCCTTTACATTGTATGTAAATTTCATGATGAATGGACTAAAAGAAATGGCCCAAAATGACTTTAAAGAAAAAATAAAAATGACTCCTGTAAAGTTATCATTTTGGCGATATGAGGTTTTCTTCCGACAACAGCAATATAAGGACTAATTATACAAATTTACACAATTTACAATACTTACAATAAAGGGGAATTCCACCAATTTTCCAAGATTTCTATTATATTGTTAAGATGTAAGCAAAGTCATTTGGAGAGCTCTGATGTGAAATGCTCCGTTCTAGAGAAACAGATCAAATTAGAATTGTTCACAGTAGTGGAGAGACTTCCGAAGCATTAAATGCCTCTAAAAGATCCCTCACAGAAAGTGATTGTATGAAATGGTTATGCTTACGTTGCCTGATGCCTGAGACATTTTTTTATTATAGTTTTGAAAGGTTTTGGCCTAAAATGTTTTTTTTTAAATGCATTCATGGTGGATAGATGCACGAAGGGTTGTAAGGCAACATAAGCTGCAAAGTAAACTAAAATTGTTTGGATTTATCACTATTTTACCATTATCAGCATTAAATAAAACTCGGAACACATGTAGGTTTACTGGTTATTTTAGACAGTGAATAAAATGGCTATATTTGCATTTTAGACATTATGACCCCTGATTCCAGTCACCAGCACGGTAAAGAAATCTGATTCAGTAAGTTTGTCTTCAAACCACTCTGAAATCAACTGTTTACATCTCAACCATTGACGTATACAGAAACTTTGAAAACTCAGTGGAATTCCCCTTTAAACAACACTCTGGGTGTGCAAATGCAAACTTCACTGTGGGTGAATATTTACATTGATTTAACTTGAGGTAGATCTTCTTGAAATTTAAAAATGTGCAGATGTATATTATACACATGTATGTATTGTTTGAGCTGAAAGAGAAAGCTAGAGAGAGAGAGAGAGATAGAGAGAGATAGAGATAGAGAGAGAGAGAGAGAGAGAGAGAGATAGAGAGAGAGAGAGAGAGAGAGAGAGAGAGAGAGAGAGAGAGAGAGAGAGAACAGATTGAAGTTGTAACCGCTGGAGTCTTCCTTTTTGTTGTGTTGTTTTGGGGAATGTTTTTGGTCTTTTATCACTAAATTCACATTCTTATCTCTTTATGAGCCTAAAGTGCTGAGATCTGTTGATGAAAAAAACAACTCAGAACAAAAGGAGATGTTGGACACACAGTTTCTGAATATAGTTGTTCTACAGGGTGATAAGAGGCTCCCTTTGACAGAACAGATCTCACATTCAGAGCACAGAGATGTGAGACGATGAGAGCAGTGAATTCTGGGTACGTTTCTGACACCACATGCTGGGCTTTTGCCCCAGGCCTTGCAAAAGCCTTTCTCCCTCAGTCATGTGCTCGGTGCGCTTAGGCTGTGAAGCACTACAGCTTGGGAGGCTATTTTCAGAACCTCGTGATAGCGGACTCGGAGGTAGCGTCGTTCGTTAACCACAGAGGAAAAAAAAAAAACACTGTATCTCCATATGGGGTCTTTTTCAAAGCTACTGGTCACAACTTACAGTTACACAGAAAACACAAGGGTCCCTTTAATAATGAGGAGTAACTGAGGCAAGTGTGTCAAGATGTCCACATGATGCTCATTAGCCATCAGAGGCTTCCATACGTTGTTAGCTATGTTAAGCTCCAGGGAAACTAAATAAGCAAAAATTGACAACAACCATCTCTTGACTGATCAGCTAGGTTTTAGGTGAGGGGGGGTTCGCATGGTTTTTGCCTTATTTTTTTTACGTTAAAGCCACATTTAGGGATTTCAAAATGGCTCAGCAGCAGCCTGACCAATAGGGACTCTAATCAGTAGGGACAGTAACTCGGCAACTGTAGGTACGGCCACAGTGAGCGGAAACAAATCTGTGTTAATGCTGTAGCTGCAGAGACCATTCAGTCATTTGGCAGCTCTACCATAATGGTGGAATAGTGTTTCACTGTCTTTGCTCACCTGATGATAAATAAAATGCTAATTCAACAAACAAAACAACCTGAAATTAATTCACTTAAATCTCACGTTTTGGCCACTATGGCAAACTGATGTTTCTGCTGTAGTAGATCACCACGCTACAGCAGCAGCAAACACACACACACACCGCTCATCCTTCTGGGTCGCAGGGGGTGCTGGAGCCTATCCCAGTGGCCATTGGATGGAAGGCAGGATACACCCTGGACAGGTCGCCAGTCCATCGCAGGCCGGCAGCAGCAAGCAGCGAGTCAAATTCGCACATGCGCAGAACAGCAGTCACTGTCACTGCTGTTGCTTAAAGTGTATTGACTGTCCTAAAACGGCTAAACATCGGCTCACATTGTCCTCCTCAGATTCAAACTCAGTACTCTGAGTGAACAACCGATCCCCAAAAATACATTTAAGGCCATTTTCTTATTTTTGTTCAGACAGTTATAAAGGCTAAATGGGCTCCTTCAGTTTACAATGTTTGTAGACACTCAAATTCAAACCTCAACTATTTAGGCTTACAACAGGGTATGATAACTGTATTCTGAGTCCTACAGTATAAGATGTAATAGGAATATACAGTACTTTTGCTGTAGAGAGAAATGACTCTACACACACTGATTAAAGTATGGGAATAAAAACATTTGAGTCGGGAGGTTGAGAGAGACTATGTGACTCAGAGAAAAAAACAACCAGCGGCAATAACAGCCCACTAACAAAACCACTCACTGTGGTTTAAACCAACGTCAGAAGAATAAAAACTCACTACTGCAGGCATATGGACAGGTGTGCTAATGTTCTATAATGTCAGCTACAACATGTGGGTTGCAAGGCAAAACTTTTTGGCTGTTATCTAAAGCGAGGCAAAAACAGGATTTAATAAGGCTTAGAATTGTGAAAGAGCGATTTGTGCTGCTCCTCTTCCTGTCTTTTTTTGCTCTTAGATATAATGTGCACTGTTTAGGGAGCCTAAATAGTGCACTGGGTTCTTGCTCACTTGTAGCTGCTGCTCCTTGAACATGTCAGGTCTTGGCGCGTTGAGGATGTCGTCAGCCAACTGCGCCTGGCTGTCGATGTTGACCGGTGTGGTGGCCTTACTGGACAGGAAGCTGTTGTAGATCTCTCTCGCTCTCTGGGATAACTAAAAATCAAAGGTCATGACAAGGTCACAATCAATAATCACAGATCATTTAGTCTAAACTCATTAAGCAAATGATAAATGATTGATATGATAAAATGTAAACACTAAATAAAGAAATGTGTGAAACCATGATTGATGATAGAAATAATGGCTAAATGATGCTGTCGCTCTGTATTACTGCCAAGGAGGCCCTGCTCAGTGCTTTCTGGGTGAGTTTTACAGCAGCAGAATGAAGGAGACCTCTGTTTTTACATTTCCTGTGTAGGTGAAGGGCATTAAACTCCAAAGCTTGCATACCTGTTTCTTGTCGGTTTCCGGAACATGGCTGAAAAATTCACACGCTTGCCAGAACAGGATATTCTCCTCACTGAACTCCTTCTTCAGAAACTCCTGCAGAGTCAGTTAGAGAAACAACACTGCCTTTAATCACACCACCACTCCCACAACAAGCAGAGAGAAGTTAAGCCAGCTCTTTTCTTCTTTATGCAAGCAATAATGGCATGTTTTGTGTGAGGCGAGTTATATTTAAACAAAACTCTCCCAATTATCTGACATCATTCAATACTCTTGAATATTCTATTGGTTCCCATGCTGCTTTATCCTGGAAATCCCTTTTTAAAGCTACTATCTTAGGAAAAGCAGCAGTTAGTAACTTTTCTTGCTATAAATGGAATGTGTCTGAAAAGCCTCTTAAATTACAAGCTCTCCATCTGCTCTCTGATGTTGAAGGAATGCTGAAAACAAGCAGATTTGCATGATTTGTATTTACACTGTACACATTCAAAGTGACGTACTGAGAAGTAGCGGACTCCGACAGGGTCTTGCAGCAGTCGCTCGAAGCAGACGGCCCATGATGCAACGCGGCGCTCCGTGTGGCGTCTGTGGCACTGCACGCTGGGTAGACTGGCATTGCTGTTCAGGCTGTTATCGCTACCGCAGCCCTTCAGATCCGCACTGTTCAGCTCTATACAAACAACACATACACCATTACTGTTGCTGGTCCACTCAAACAGTCAAGTTCTGTCAGAGGAGCAAGTGAATAGTTAAGTATTCACTTCTAAGAGAAAAAAGGGCTTTTCTGTTTGGCCCTGAGAGAGAAATCTTTCTATTATTTTACAGAAATTATACAAAAACCTTGACTGGTCACTCTAGAACAATATTTTCCCATCTCATGTACTACTTTACTGCACAACTGAGTTTTTCTTCAGTCCCCAAACACCTGATTCAACATATCAGCTCAATAACAAGCCCATCATGAGTTTAATTAGTGTTATTTATCCATATTCTGAGTTTTTAAATGTAGTGATGGTAAAATTGTAGTACGTCTGAAAAAATATGTTTTCTTTAGGGACTATTTTGCCTGACAACACCCTGCATGTACCTCTCCACCATGACTGTTTTATTAACAATATGTTTTGTGCCAAAAACCTTATCTGAAAACTATCATAAAACAATGTCTCAGGCATCTGGCAGCATATTCATAAACATTTCATGTAACAGCTTTCTGTGAGGCAGCTTTAAGAGGAATTAAGCTCTGTGGATGGCTGGTTCCTATCACCGCCACTGTAAACAATTCCGACTCGTAAGATTTTATAGGATGGAGCGTTTCACATCAAACTACCCTGAATGACTTCAAGTCTCAATTGTTTTAATTATGCAGAAAAAAACAGGGAAAGCATTAACACGTGCAGGGCAGGGGTACTGCATTTACAGTTACATTTATATTTATGGCATTTGCAGCACCAAGATTAAGAAACATTCCTCCAGAGTTTATTCCCCAAAGCATCATCTCTGAACCCACAATTTGAGGCTGATTCTCGGGGTCAAGACACTCATTTTATGGTCTGGAAATCACTTTTATAGGAGACCTTTTACCTCCACTGAGTGCTGTAAACAAACAGATACACTTAGTAAAGCTGAGAACAATTCCACATTATGTTTTACAAGCCTTCCTTGTCAACTGCATATCAGGACATGCCTAACCTGATTTGAGGAAATAAACAGCACCATTCTGATACATCACTGAAAATAATGTCCATGCAAACCCAGCTTTTCCTGTATTTCCATCAGACTCTACATCTAACTCCTACTCAAAGGTGGAAACCTTTCAACATCTCAACAAAAACATTCCTTTTTTATGTCTGCAGTAACAGAGCACAGTGCATGAGTATGAAGTGGTTATAGATTCTCAGGCAAATTACTCTCAGCTCTACAACACAGATCATACCACATTTTAATTCTTTAAATACAATCATTCTGATATTGTTACTGTTAGTCACACTGCAAGCAACCCTAAAGAGCCATTCACCGGATGTAAGACCCCATGACCTTATCACAAACCCTGTCTTTCTGGCTGCTCTTAACAATGTCCAAAACAGAAGCTTATAATATCAGCACAACCTATAAGCCTTCACTCAGAATACACTGCTTTTACCTTTGTCACATTTACACAAATCTATGCATACAGTTACTGTAATGATGAAGCAGCTGGGTTTACAAGCTGATTTATATAGAATTTGCATAATTGAACAGCTGAAATAGAAATAATTTACAATTTAATTGTAAAGAAACTTACTGACATTGATTCTTTTTATAGTTTCATTATAGTGGCAATACGAACAAGGGATCACAATGTTTACAATGCAAATACATGCATTTAATTGACTATTTAAAATAAGCAGTGAGCATACAGTGCTGTCTATATAAATAGTGGTAAATTAGAAAAAATAAGACACTTTGGGTGCTATTGTGCATGTAACCTCCCACATTGACTGGATTTATGAAAGTAAGTTTTAGGCCAAAATCTTATCTCAAAACTATCATACAATCATGTCTTGTTCATCAGGCAAAGTATCTGTAATGATTATGTGTAATATCATTCTGTGAGGCAGTTTTTAGAGGCATTAAATGCTTCAGATGTCTGGCTCCTATCTCCACCATTGTGAACAATTCTGACTGTGTGTTTCTCTGAATGGAGCATTTCACATCAAACTACTCTGAATGACATTGTTTACATCTCAATTATTTAATCATACAGACTTCTTAAAAAACATTAAATGGAATTCCCTTTTAAATGGTGATTTAATGAAAAACAAATTCCTGATTTTGGCTTCTGGCTTCTGGCAAGTCTGGCTTTTGGCTACATTTCACTTCTGAAAGGTCACGTTTTTTGCTTTTAAACAAGGTATCAAATTGAAACTGTACTAAAGTATATATTCAGGAAGAATGTAGAAAACAAAGTATTTAGTGCAAAGTAAACTTAAAAACAAACTCTGAAACAATGTCTAGGTGCAGAAGGAACATATCCATGTCAAAATCTAATTTAACACCTATAAAAGGTTGATCAAACTCCTCTTGCCATTCAAGCTTTAGCAAAAAGAATGAAAACCTGCAACGCAATGAGTCCAAAGGCATCATCTGTCCCTAAAGTGTCCTCTCTCTGAGAGAAACACAACTTTAGCCCTGTCGTCAACCCCTCAGGTGCCATTTTCAGCCCCAGCCGCTCTCTCTTACCCGGGTAGAGCTGGTAGGAGCCTGTATGATGCCACTTAACCAGGTACTTCATCCCCACAGGACGCCATGCCTTTACATCCATGCCTACGCACCATCACACACACAGCCATGGAGCAACGCAGGGCTACTGACCATCAAACCCTCCTTAACCTTTCACACATCTCCTCCACATTACGGCAAAAACAAGCAGTGACGAGCGGCCCCCACACACACACACACACACACAGGCAAAGAGATACAGTGCGGCCAGCACAAAGCCCTGTCCAAGAATGAATAATTGAGGGCAGAGAGAAGAGGGAAACGTAGACAACAGAGGCAACAGGAACCTACAATATTAATGAGAGGCTAGCATAGCCACCCCACACACACACTCACACACACACACACACACACACACACACATACACACATATATACAATACCACAAGGTAAATATTCTTACATGGATGAGCAGTTATGGTGGATGTGATATAGTTTAGGAGAGCAAGAGTACACTGGCCTCTCCATGCTACAGCATCATTAGCAGCAGCCATCAGTTAAAAACAGTTACATTATTTACCCTTGGCCCCTAAATGCAGTCGCTTGGCTAAGACATGTTCGGTGTCTGGACTTCAGTACAAGTTTTGCACTGGAGCTACACAGCTAATGTAGCTAACAAGTAACGTCAAAATGTTAACTTCAAACATCTACACAAGTAACAACAGTAGAAGCATCACTGTAAACATTTCCTCTTGGCATGTGAAAACATCTTTAAAAAATTTAGTCAAGATATCTAATATTTCTAATTTTGTTTTAAGTTGTTTTAAGTCGTTTTATCTAGTGAAAGAGTTGTATTCATTTGGCAGACACTATTCTAGTGTTGAGATTTAGGGTAATGTAGGTAATTTTGCTCGTTTGGAAAAATAATGCTTAAAACATGCCAATGCAATTATCTGCCAATAGAATATGACACTGTCCCTGTATAAAACACTTAAGTAAAAAAGTCTAGAAATAAGTTGAACAATTTCATAACTGTCTTAACCTCAAAACGACAAATATTAGATATAATTGAGTTTAGATTAGTTTTCATTTTTTGCAGCGATCTTGAAACCTGATTTTTGTCTATACTTTTTTAGAGATGCAGTGAGGGGAAAACAGTATTCAGACACTTTTGTTATTTAATATACTTCCAGTGCATATATCCACTTCATAACTTCATACATGTCTTTTGACTTCGTATTTATAAACATGAATAAAAAAGATACCACAAATCAACACAGTAATTTGTTGCAAAGTCATTGTTGGCAATTACAGATTCAAGACATCAACACTAAAACATAATTAGCTTTTGCAGCATTGTGGTTCAATTTTTGCCAATTCCTCTTAGCAAACCACCTCAATCACCTCCATATTCAGTGGTATTCAAGTCAAGAGATTGGCTAAGCCATGCAAGCACCTGCGCCTTCTTTTTTAGAAAGCAGTGTTGGGTTATTCTGACTGTATGTTTGTCAGCTTGTCACTGTCAAATTGATTTTTTTTGCCTGATGAGATTAAATTCTCCTGTAATATGTCTGGCTACATCTCTCAGTTCGTGTTTCCTTTAATGATGTCATGCTCCAGTGCTGTTTGCACAGAAGCAGCACATGTAATGATGCTCCCATCTCTGTACTCTGTGCTATTCTATTCTATTTTTGCTTCATCTGACCATCTGAGTCCATGGTTCCAAAGAGTTCTGATTTGTATAAAGGCTTGTGTGCAAATTTTAGATGCACATCTCTGTGTTTCTTTTTAAGCAGAAGAGTTTTGCATGGGGTGTAGGAACAAAGATGTTTGTGATGAAGTTCACTGCCTATTGTTCCCTGTTTAACTGTTGTTGCTGTTGCATTCAGGTCATCCTGAGTGACTTCTTTCTGAGTGACTTCTTTCTTACCTTCCTCATCAATAGACTGAGAGCATGTTGTGAAATGTTGCGTGGCGTACCTGTCCAGGGACGATTAGTTGTCATTCTGTGATCTTTACACTTTAATATTATTGAACTAGTTGTACTGACAGAAATGTTTAAGGTCTTTGCTATGGCGCTGTAGCTTTTTCCATTTGAGTTTTGTTTAATAATGTTGTCTCTGAGAACTTTTGGAAGCTCCTTCACCCTCACTATGATTGCCACTTGTTGTGTGAAATTGCGTGCCACTTGTTGCGTTGACACCAGATGCAATTTGCATGGGATTATTTTTTTTCATTTTGCTGAATTAATATCCACAACCTGATTTATTTTTATGTAGAATTTACATATATCTTTTAACAGAGTGTCTGTTTCTCATTATGAATTTCTTCATTATGCTTATGAATACATTTTGTTCATATTCATGAGTACAAAGTCAAAAGACATTTTGTATTTTGTAGCAAGTGTGATTTAGGCATATAGCTTGCAACATGCTAACTAGTGGTTAAACGTTTCTATTGCTTGTTAGTTGCATTAGTTTTGTAGTTCCAGAGCAAAACTAAACAAAAGCAAACCTCAGACACACCACATGTATTGGCTGATTTTCTCCATTTGGGCTAAGAGAGAACTGTGTAATTTTGATTGTGTGTCAAACTATCACTTTGAGGTTAAAACATACTGGAATCTAAGTAAGATAGAGGACAGTAGGAAAGATACCGAGACTGAACATCAGACTTTCTGATCTCCAGGATAAATAACAACTTGTAAGATATAGCAATGGACACTGATGAGATGACCTTACTCTCCCTTATTCTGTCACTTCTGAGCCTAAAAACCAATCTCAAAAACAATCATTGCCATTAGGAACTTCAAAACATCCAGTGGCGTCATTAAACTGCTCTGGGGCCAGGAACATCAGTGTCACTGCACTTACTGATCTGAGATCAGACAAACACCAGCAGATTCTTGCTTTTGACTTCTAATGAGCAATCTAATAAAACAACAAGATTACCTTTTCTGACCCCAATCTGTCTACCACTGCTGCAGGGAGTCTTTGAAATGCATGCATACAACTTCGGGGACAAAATTAGCAACAAAGCTCCGAAACAGTGTTGCTTTTAGAGGAGGAAGAGTGGGAAGAATTTTACAATGTGACGAAATCTTCACCTCCAACGCCAAACTGAAGAAGTTGTTAACATACAAACAAATACGGCTGTAAAAAACAACTTTTTTTTGGTCTTCACAGTTTGCCTACATGCATTTGTCCCCTCGGATCATGGTGGATCCTGGCCTGCTCCCCCGGTGCCTTTGTTATGCAGCAGGCTGGGACCCTAACGGCCTAGTAACGCAGAGTACATCCACACCGCACAACGTTCCACATGCTAATGGGGCTGTGGGACAGGAGGGGCGTGCACAGCAGAACCGTCCCTAATGACCAGTGACTCCTTTTATACAGTCTTAGGGGGAAGAAAGATATTACAACAAACACTGCGTTGTTGCACATTAGATGACTTGCAAAATTAGAATATCATCATCAATAATTTATATAAAACATCAATAACTTAGAACTAGGTGTGTAAATCACAAATGTGAGTGTGATGCTTTAAAAACATTTGTATTTGTGTGATGAATGTTAGGCTACACTGTATTTTCCTTCAGAACATGCAAAATGAAGCAATGTTTCAAATATGTAGCTACTTATTTGATTTATTTAACATTTGAAGACGTTTGTATTGATAAAAAAAGAATAAGTTCAATCATGATATTAAATGAAATGAGAAATTTCAATCCCACAAACCTTTGGTACTCAGACAATGATAAGTGTCTGCCCTTGTATCTTCGGCTGCCGAGCACTGTAATACTACATTTGGTGTTGGTATTGAAATCTAAGTTCGGGTATCATGACAACCCTAGTAGATACTATATTGAATATTATTATAATTGATAATAATACATTCTAACATTCCAAAAATGATGCAATTCTTCAGATCAGTTCATCATCTTGCCTCAATGCACTGTTATATCCCTACCTGTAAAATAACATTGTAAACCTGTTTAGAACTCTGTAGCCCTAGCTGACCTGTGTAACATAATGCTTCTGCTGAACCTTCTCAAAGGAAACAGCGCTAAACCAAACGGACTCAAGACCAACTGAGTGTCGCCGCTAAACTTTTCCATCCCTCCAAACATCAATACAGATCAGATCAGACGCGTCTGCAGCTTTAAACCGAAAAGCGTTTCTGATGACGCAAGGCGAAGCAGCAACATCTAATCAGGAGCTATCAAGACACGTTAAAACAGAGCCAACGTGGTGTTTGCTTTCCTTTTCAAGCAGGCACGACTCTTTTTATCCACTTATCTGCCCATCCCTAATCACACTGCATTACCATTGGCAATGGGCTAGAGATAGCATTCAGACAGAGGCGGGGGGGGGAGATAAAAAGACTTCTGAAAAAAAGGAAAAAAGAGTGCAAAAGTGACTAAAAAAGGAAGGCCAGGCTGGAATGGCAGAAGGAATGGACTGGGTGGAGTTGTTCTGAACAGATTAGAACAAAAGGACAACTGAAATAAGAAAAGAGGCAGAAGGAGATGTTCTGTGTGGAGAAGCTGTTAGCTTTAAGGTCATATGAAAGTGAGTGAGCACAGAAAAATAGTAAAGCAATAAATTTAATTGATTAAAATGTGTAAATAATTTTCATATTAATAAAATGTATTGCATCAACACAAATTCATCTTTCAGTTTACTTACTTACATCCGCAACAACTGTGTTGTAATATTTTTTTATGCATGTGGAAATGATGTCCAAACACAAGTGGGTGAAAAAAAAATGAACGTCATGATACTTCCACAAAACCTAGTTTGTATCACAATGTCATTTTTCAGAGGTTTGATAAGTTAAATAAAATAAAATAATAGGGTTGCACAATGATATCAGAATCATCTCGGTATCGATAGATAATTGCTTTGAAAAAACTGCCCCGAACAGGTTTTTAGATTTGACCAGCATATGAAACTGACATATGATGATATGGTGTTTATTGTACTCAATATAGCAGAGCATTTAGGTAAAGCTGGAATTCTGTGCTAAAATATCTCCATTTTATTAATGTAATGTATTTGTTACCCTCTAAAAATGTTATATTTCACCATAATGCTAATCCAGATAGATAAAGTCCCAATGTTTACACTTTATAAATGTTTATTGCTCAGCACCAGTCTCCGCATTGGAAGATGTGTACATGAAAAATATCAGATATTGGCATCTGCCCACTATTCCTATATTGGTGCATCACTATAATATCAAAGATGACGAGTACATACTATGAATAAATGCTATCAAAAAGGATGAGTGCATACTAGGAATAAACACTATCAAGAACATTGGGCCTCAATCACCAACCATTCTTAAGAAGACGTTTCTTCTTAAAACCCATTTACACAGTTTTCACATAGATTCTGATATTCACCAATGTTTTCTTATTTGGGATTTGTTCAGAATCTACACACTTAAGAGCACAAAGGTGAGAACAATTCTGCAGTTTAAGAACATGTCATGAATCTGATGGAGACTTTTTCTTAGGATCTTTCTCATAAAATAATTTATGAAAACACTTTTAAAACAGATAACAGATATTGGTGAATAAGGCCCAATGAGTACATACTATGAATTAATATACTGTCAAAAAACGATGAGTACATACTAGGAATAAATCCTAATACAATGATTTTACATGCTGTGCTGCGCTAAATTCAAGTAAACAGGACTAATTATTATGCTTACTTTATAATGAAATATGCAGTTGCTCTTTAAGTACTGACGATCTCCACAATATCACGATAACGATAAACATCAAATGACCCACCTCTATGTACACATATGAATCAAGTGATTACAATGCATTACCTTTTCAGTGTGTGTGCGTGTGTGTGTTTTTGGCATGAGTCAGAACACACAACAGTAACCAAGAAGTCAGCACTTTAAGAGATGTGAAACGAGATGAGAGGGCACAGACCCCAACCCCTCCCAAGAAAAAAACATAACAAAACAAAAAACAACAGCAAAAACACCATAAGACAAATCATGGGAAAAACTGCTAGTGTGAAAATTAAAGTGAGGAGGAGTGAATAAGAAAAAAGACTTAGAAGAGAATGAAATGACAAGCTGAGTGAAGGCTGCCCATCTAGAGGACAGCAGTCAAGAGAGAAGAACACTGATATGAGAAGAGAGAGTTTATATCTGAATGGATGAAGTGATTACTCACCGCCATCGGAGACAGCTGCAGACTGTAAGAGAACACAGAGAGACATGTGTGAGTGACTGTCCTCAACACACACTCACACACACCAATGCCGGAGCTGAGCAGGGTGTGCTGATGGCATCACATACACTCCCCCACACTCGCATACATACACACGTTCACACCCGCTCTTCCTGTTCTACTGGTAAAGTCTTCCACTCGCTCCCACCCTCTGCGGAGATAATGAGAAAGAGTGAGGTGTCCTCCTGTTCACAGCCCTGCCCACTGGCCCACATATGCCCCGCCCACATTTGCCCGGGCATGCTACTGGAACAGGCAAGGGCAAGGTGGGTGAACAAAATTCCCAGATTACAACAGCAGCTGAGAAAGAGCACTTGCTGTGGTGATAGTTAACAGGTAGCAATTTAAATACACTACAGGCCTAACATTTTAACAAATAAACAGAGAATATGGACCATTTAACCACAGGTAAATTGTAATGAATGAATGCACACATTATTTGGGTGGTGGATCATTCTCAGCACTGCAGTGTCACTGACATGTTACTGGCGTGCTCTATACCGTGTGCTGCTGATACAAGTAGATCAGACACAGCAGTGCTGGAGATGTAAATTCAGAGACAGTAGCTCATCTGTTGCTGCAAAGTTTGTGTTGGTCATCCTCTAGTCCTTCATCAGTGGTCACAGGATGCTCCACAAGACACTGTTGGCTGGATATTTTTGGTTGGTGGACTATTCTCAGTCCAGCAGTGACACTGAGGTGACCACTCATGAAGGACTAGAGGATGACCAACACAAACTGTGCAGCAACAGATGACCTATCTTCTCTGACTTTACATCTACAAGTTGGACCAACAAGGAGGGAGTGTCCAATAGAGTGGACAGTAAGTGGACAGTGTTTAAAAACTCCAGGAGCACTGCTGTGTCTGATCCACTCATACCAGCGCAACTACAAAGTGCACCTATAGGGTAAGTGGAGCTGATAAAATGGAAAATGAGTGTAGATACAAGGATTGTAAAGTTTATATATATCGCTGTTGTCTGAAGAAAACCTTGTATCTCCAAAATGGTAACTTCACAGGAGAGGGAAAAAACTTACTTTACTTTTAATGCAAGTCAGTGGAACCAGACTTTTATCCGAGTCATTTTGGGTCATTTCTTTCAGTGTGTGTGTGTGTGTGTGTGTGTGTGTGTATATATATATATATATATATATATATATATACACACACACACACACATACACACCCATCTCTCTCTCTCTCTCTTTTTTATATATATATATATATATATATATATATATATATATATATATATATATGTGTATATTAGTATACAGTATTAAATCATAAGGAACATTCAACTTCTGCACATTTTAATATAGTAAAATGTTTTTTGTCCAATATGTGAATGAATGAATAGAAATTGTGCACTAAAATTAGCAGAAAAATGCCATATTCATGTTTACTTATGTTCACTTAGAAAATAAACAAAATGTAATTTAACCATGAGTATATGTGTATATGGATAGTGTATGTGTATGTACTGTATGGGTAATTCTGAAGGTGAGTTGTGAAGAAACATTTTAAAGCATAATCATTTAGAAAACTTTTTTTTTTAAAGAGTGTAAGAGTGTAATCTGTGGTTATTTACTGTAGACTAAAGATGCAGCAGACAGATTAGACTGAAAAATGCTGGAGTACTTAAAAATCATTTATTGAAAGGCTCTTTAGGGAAGGTTTTTCTATGGCATTGCTCAAAGAACACTTTGTGGCACTTGGTTAAAGTAGATGTCAGTAAACATGCTGTGTTGTGTTGGTTGTTGGCAAGTTAACACCAAATTTTTGTAAAAATTTTTTTTTTCAAAAAGTCCTTGCTCATTTATTTGGCCTGCAGTATATATATGTAATGTATAAGCAGTGTGCTGTGTAACGTTGACCTGAGCATGTGTAGGACAGCCTGATGAGTCATTTCCTTCAATGTAGGCACTGAAGTCAGACAGTGAAAGAACTGTTTAGGGTTGGAGGAGGAACCAGAAAAAGCACCACCCGGCCACAAATAGCAACCGAGCCCACACACTGTTCTAAAGCAACATACAGATTTACATACAATTATGCGTACACACTCGAGACAAGTCTGAGTATTAGACATTCACCCACCCACACACACTCCATCACCACCGTCAGCAGCGCTTCCTTACTTATAACTGTGTTTAGACATGCAGTTGAATCTCCATCAAAGAGAAAGTCTGAGTGTGTCAGACAGACAGACAGACAAACAAGATAGCCACCCACTGTATGTAGGATCAAGACTCCCCTAGTACAGAGCTTTGTTGTCATAAAGATATTGGTAAAGATAGAAGAGATAGGAAAGGGAGCGCGATGGAGTGAATGATGAGACAAACAAATAGAAGGGAAAAAGGGTGTGAGTGACCACAAAGGGCCGGCAGGAAGACAGATGGTTTAAAAGAGTGAGTGATGAGAAGACAGAGGCAGGATGAAGAGCAGACAGATACGCTATTACATGGCTTTCACATTTAAACTTCAGTGAGTCAGAAACTTTCCAGCAGAGCCTGGCTGATATGAACATGTTAAACATGTGGGTAACTTAACATTATAACAATATTAGGCCTTTCACAAACTTTTTTTTGTAGCTGACGATCAATTGTTACATAAAAAATTGTGATGAACAGTTTTATTGTCTTTTTTTATTTTATTCAACTATTAAAGTAAAGCATAAAGCAGCTTACTTGGCTGATTTGCCATCTTGCTTCCTATCTATACTTTCTAGCTAATGCTAAGCTGTGCTGACATGAAATGATGTACTGCACTGTTATGTGCTTTCAAACACACAGAAAATGACTACAGTTTCCCAGAATCATTAGAAAGAAGCAAAGCTCATAAGCTTCTCTTGAAGCCCCTGTCAACATGGTTTCTAATATTTTAATAGTAAAGACATGCAGTGGAAAAGTGTTTACCTGTGTTGTAGTCAAGAAATACATAAATGAATACAGTTTAAAAGTATATAAATGCTTCAAAAATCCCAAGCTGCTGTCTGCTATAACTTTGTGGACATAAAACAAAATGACTGACAGTGGTGTTTCCCAGGCAGCATTAACAACCTGGCTCCAGTGGCAGTGGTGAGCAACATCGCCAATCGGTGGAGAAATTTCTTGTATACCCTTGTGTGCACTGCTTATAAAGTCCTTGTAAAGTTAGTTAGAAGGAATGTTTCATTTTATTCCAGCAGTTAAAGTCATTCTTTCTCTGCCAGTCCACTGTGTTGCATGCTAACATGCTAACAACATTAGCTACCTAGCAAACAAATAAAAGAACAGGCCTCTAAACCAGGGTTTCTCAACCACTGAGCCACAGACCACAAGTGAGCTGTGAAGCACTTTCTAGTGAGAAGCACTTTATGTCATAAAAATCAGTGAAAAAATAATTGACTTAATAATAAGAAAGAAATATAAGATGTCTTTAAACAGTAAACAATATTAATACAAGCCCTGCAACAACGGAGTACAAAGCAGCTTCATCTATTTTTGCCTCCTGCCTCTAAAAACAAAATACACCCCCAAGGTTTCACTCATCCACTCGCGAGTGAGCATGAAAAATGCACTGCAGTAACATTCTGCTTAATTTGCCACCATTCCACCTGTTTTCTGGTATAAAACAAGCTTGTAAGAGCCAAATCTGTTGAAATGATGTTCAATGAAACGCATCACATATTACAGGGCACCCAAATATCACTGTGCTGAAAACTTCCTTCCACAACAGCCCTAATATCAACAGTCCAAACAGATCTTTCAAAAGAAGCTTTTTTGTCTGCACATTTAAAATAAAATTGGACAATAAGACAAATAGGTCACTGCTGTGCTCTGCTCATTCAGTGATGCCACTATGATCAAGAAAAAAAACAAGATCAAGAAGGGACAGAGAAATATCTTCAACCTTACTTACACTTGCTTCCTAAAATTAGAATTCAGTGTTGAATTAAGACTGGTTACTAGTTTTAGTTTTAGTACTAATAGTAATTGATTATTAACTAATTTATAGTTATACAACCTTCTGGCCAACATTCTCAACGCTTTCAGTGTCAGCACTTGAGAAATAAAAGAAAATGCAATGTTTAGTAAGTAATTTAGCTTATGTTACTTGTATATGTGGTTTCTGACACTGACATATACTTATCTATAAAAAGAGACAAAAGGACACTGTATAGCTAAAATGGTGGTTTCAGCCTTCTTAAAACTTGAATTTTGAGTGGGCTTTTATCCAATTTTGTGGATAATAGTATGTCATACTGTGTCAGAAACCACATTTCATGCAGTTTACATGAATCTAACAGGTGGCTACGAACTTCCATTACTTGCTACATTACCTTTGTAGCCACAGGAAGCTAAAAGGGGGCGCTCAAACAACGCCTTTTCAAACTCTCTAAAGCGTGCTTCTTTTCATTGTTTTCTATGGAGCAAAGCAAATCAGGACTGGAAAACTCTCCTTTAGAATTTTTCTGCACATTTAAAATAAAATTGGACAACAGTAAAATAGGTCATTGCTGTGCTCTGCTCATTCAGTGAAGCCGTTAAGATCAAAATAACGTTAAGAAGAAGAAGCGATAAAGAAATCCTTAACCTTACTTACATTTGCCCCCAAAAATTACAGAGTTCAACTATGAGTTTAATTATTATCATGAACTGATTAATAACTGTAATTTATAATTATCCAGCCCATAATTCTCAGAGTTTTCAGTCTCAGCACTAAATAAAATAAAAATGTCTAAGCAAAGAAGTTGTCTTTCCTGTGAGCCTTCATGCTTTCTGGAAATAGGTTGGCCTTGAGGTGTAAAATGTTGAGGGCCTGAGCTGTAAAAGAGTTCCAGCACACAGTTAAGAGTTAGAACGTCTATTGTCTCTATGCTTGTCCCAATTAATAAGCATTATTTACATTTATTTGTCTCAACTCAGCTGGTGAAAATGCAGCCATTTCACATTGTGCTTACACCTGCAACACTATATGATTGT